GCTTTAACTAATTAACGCAGCCGCACAGTCTGGTACATTTAACATCGCTTCAACAAGTGCCTCAGCAACGATTGTGCACGCCGATTGGCATAACGTCGAACTTTTCTCTCCATAAGCAAAACGGAAGGAAATCTCCTCTTTTAGAAGTCATTTAAACTGTAAGCTTTACGTGCACAAGCAGGACAGTTGCCATTTAGGTTTGTGTGTGTACCCTTTCTGCTGAGAGTGAGCGAAGCAAAATGGCTCACCAAAGGGTATCGCCAGTGTGCCACCCCTTGGCCCCGCTTTCGCTTCATCCGACGTCGAGAAGCGGAAATGGAGGCCATTCTTGAAAAAGGCATGAGCTTTTTTGTCTCCTTCGTTTGACTTTTTGCTTTTTCCTGTTAGTTCAACCTCTCCGTTTCCTTAAGCTGTTTTAACCCCAAAACAAACTGACTTATGAAATCTGTTCAAATATTTTGACTATATGGGGAATTTCAATTCAACTCAAATGACTGCAATGACTTTTTTGAATAACAGATTGCATTTTTTCTTGAAGCGAGTGAGGATGGGCGGATAATTATTAATTACACTCATTTGAAGGTGGTTACTATTCCTCCAACCTGGTGAGACAGGCATCGTCACTTGGGGATAAAACACTGCAGAAACAGCATTGTTACCATTTGCACTAGATGTTTTCGACTGAGGGTGTGATAGTGCGGCTTGAACGCCAATTTACCTCTTCCGGGGATAGATTTCCATTAGTAACTAATAGCAATGGACTGAGAGCACTCCCAACACCAGACCACACACAGCCACGATCACAAAGGAGAAATATGGTGCAATAAAAGTCATTTGTAAAGAAAATTCGGTAACAGTATAGCTAAAAGGTTACAAGAAAGGCAGAATTCCCCCCGTTATGTTATGCGTCAACTAAGCGTGTCTAAGCAACTGACATGTTACGCATATTTCATGCGTTTCCTACACTTGAGAATGCAACATTTTTACCACTATACATTTAATTTTTTCCTCGAAATTCGCTTTGCAAATTGTTAACAATTTTAAAGTTCCCTATGATATGATTACTTTCACTGCGAGACTTTTAAAATTTAACAGAACACACTTTGAGTAGCACAATAACGCCACCTTGACCTAAAAGGACGCTTACTTCATTTTAACAACATGGGAAAAGCTTTAAGTTCTATATTTTGATTAAGAAACGGAAAAAATTTAACTTAATAAATATCAGGATGGAAGGAGACTGAATGTCAGGTTAAGAAAACTCTTTCTGTTTTAGCGTCTCATTTTATCAGACAAACATTTTAATCTATTAAAAGCCCTCAGCTCTATGACATCGACCCTAAGTGTGTTAATTATTATTTTTCGTTGTCAAAATTTTAATACAAGCTAATCTGGGGCTTTTAATTTAACTTGAATAATATTCAATCGCCTAATTAATTGTTCTACATAAGAGTAACATAAAATCTTAAAATTTTGAATTCCATGGCCATTAGATAATGTAGGAACAGTTTATTTGGACGTTTAGTCTTTCGATCCCAAAGTGCTAATCGGCAAATTGGCACAAATGACATCAGTTTCTCCGCCTGCTTCTGAGCATAACATTAGAAGATATGTAGCGCACCTAAACTTATTATCTTAGAAATCAACTTTTGGTCAGTGCTTAGGCCGCAACCCATGCCTATTGGTTCCAATTCCTTTTATTAGACAAAATCTGTTTCATAGGATCGCCTTGAAATGCTTGGAGTGGATACAAGGTGTATTCCAATATGTATGGATGAGGTCTTCTTATGCTGGGACACTCACTAGAGGGCATTGTGGCCGGTTAGCATACTGAGCTGACATTGGCGAAATGTTGAGTTAAATTTACTCCCTGTTAGCATTCCCAAATTGCAAACAGGAAATATCATAAACAGTGGACGATGTGTCCACGATATGTCACACTTTCTCCCCATCATCATTCCCTCATCATTCTCATGCCTTCCTATTGTTGTTTCACACCCATTCAACAGCTATCCCATCGGCAACTACAATGTATGTCGCTTAGACAGGCGTGAGAATGGTGCTGTATTGAATTCACGCTACATCATGGTAACCACGGTAAAGAGAAATGATATGGGATCAGCGAGGAGGAAAAATGCTAGTTTTTCCAGCTCCTATCTTCCCATTTCTTTCCTGTTACCAAGCCGAGACCTTCCCACAATGGGTGAAAATATGTGACTGACGAGCTATGAAGTGTCGCGATGCCAAGCCTTTCGAGCAGGTCGAACATTTGGGCCTGTTTCTCATACAAGTCTTCACTTCCTTATTTCTTTCCTTTTTTTAATATGCTGTGCAGGGAATGCAGTCTTACTTTCTCGGTCTTAAGTAGTTGAACTAGCCCTTCGAGCTATCCTCTCCACAGTCCGCGACGGCTATAATAGTAGCAGTTAGCGACTCGAAAGTGCAGGCTAATGCGTGTTAAAATGGGTTGGAGATAGCGTCAAGTTAGTCCATCGCCAAAAAGACCAACTCTGCTATTCAGGACTGCCAATCGGATAACATCGCAAATCCTCCCTCCAAGCATTCCAGGGGCGGAGAACGCACTTCAAACTGTCACCTGTCATGTCATTTTCAGGGATGGTGTTCGCAAAAAAAGCATACTTTTTCTGATTTATCTACCATTCACCGAAGTCGTAATGACTCAGACCTGTTTGGCATGGAGATTAATCATTAACACACCGAACGTCTGGGATTCTCCTCCAAAGCGTAGTCAACCACTCAACCGGTCCACAACCAGTCCATGCATGTCACTGCTTGTCAGTGTGTGTGTGTGTGTGATACCACTTGCATCGTATCTTTCTCACTTGATGTGTTCGTAAGAGAATGTCTCCTTTGTTACCCTTCCCCTCCTTCTTTCGTCTCCTCCCCCACGTTGACCACTGAAATAAGTTGGTTTAGTGTATTGTGGTCGTCGAAGGATCTACGAAGGTGTAGCGCAGTCAGCGCTGGTAACAAGTGTGCCATCGAAAATTGGGTTTAAGACCCCCACGTATCTTTATCCAAGTCACCTGAGACCTCATGCATCTATTTATCGCTATAACGTGGTGTTAGTTATTTTCGTGAGGCAGTGCGACCTTTCAAGTAAACAAAGACCGTATTATGAATGCCTTTACTGGCTGTATGTGCGATGTGTGCGTACGTGACTGTTAGATAAATGTCAGAGATACGTGGTGGTCTCATTCCTTGGCCATTTATAGTACCCTGATTGCAATCGGTCTCCGTCATGATTGCAACCACGGCCACAGTTCATCTTCACTTACTATTAACCAATCAGCACCAACAAATGAGGGCGAGGTCTGAAACAAATTAATAAAATATGGTATAAAATTAGGCATAAAACAGGAGAATGTCAAGAAAAGAATAGGCGAAGTGTTGCATTTGCAGCGAAAGAAAAAAAACTTATGCCCAAACCGACAGCTGGAATTCGTTTTGCTGTGGTGGGTAGAAAGCTGCCATCAATTAGTCAAAAACGAAACTCTCGAAAATCCTCCAGTATTTATGCCTCCGTAAAGAGTCGATTTTGTCTACTTTTCAAACCATAAAATGGACTAGTCGCTGAAACGCCTCTGTGTTGACTAGACTGTTGCAGCGACTGAGTCTGAAGTGTCGCAATAAAGAGGAAATCTCCCTTCCCATCGCTCCCTCTCCCCGAGTCGTAACATTCTGGCAGCGTTTAGTTAATCTGTTTCGCTGATCAGACCACTGTAACGACGTTTTGCTTTAGTCTGTAAAGAGAGAAGATCCTCCGTGGGGAACATCAAAGCGGTGCATGTTTTTATTCCGTGTCACGCATGTGACATCTTAATTTTGTTCTCTGATGCACATTTGTGAAGCGAGCTTCCAGCAAAATGCAAATTGAGCTGGAATCCATGCTTTATTTCGTCTAAAGACGGATCGCTTTTGTATAGGCTTTTGATTTGTTCGGTGGGACGTGTAACTCTGCCCATCCAAGAACAAAAAAGCAGCAGTTGCAGCAGCATAAATGGAGAATCGCAGGATATTTGGTCCGTAAAAACACAATCAGATTCCATTCCAACAGTAATTTCCTTCCTATTATGAACTACACTAATGTGTGGTAAAATAATGAAAATTCTTCCAAATTTTTATGACTATTGTTGAGGCATAGAAACAACTAAGTAAAAATTAGTCAACTGCTAGCTTGGAAGAGAAAGTCCGGCCGCAGTGTATTAAGCAAAAGGCTGCGAAAGTAAAGTGCATCCAACTATCTTATAGTGGTGAAACTAAGTTCTAAAATTCCCCACCACAAGCCAATGGGGACTACCTAACGCTCATTCTCGGTCAATGTTCGCTTACATTGCTTTTCGTTCTCGTGGAAGAGTTATTCCCTGTGTTATTGGTGACTTCAAACAATTAATGGAAGGTAGTAATAGTTAATGGTGCTGCAGAGATACTTTGATGGATTAATAAGTTTGATTTTAACTAAATAATTACTATTTGTTTTTAACCTTTCATTTAGTATCGATGTCAAGGATGTTGCAACATCCCGACTGAAACGTTTAGGTAAGTGCTTTCTATATCGTAACATCGAGAAAATAGCTTTTTTGCTGAATTTAGTTCACATATTTTAATTGAAATTTTTATAGTTTTATACAACTTTAAGCGATTCGGAAAAAGTAGAAATCGTTTGTCTATATTCCCATCAAAATCGCCGTCAAAGGCGTTTCCATAGTTTTACTAGTGGCCTATGCCTGTTCTGACTAAAGGGGGAGGTACCAACGAATGACTACAGTTGTTTGCGCAAGACCACCCAAGTGACTTGGAGGCCTGGGTAGACAAGTGTACAGATTACTGTGCCTTTTTCCGAACAGTTGCCATGCGAGTGTATATGCTGGTTTTACACTTGACTATTACGAATTTGTCAAATCTTATGTCCATACATTGATTGAGTTCGCAAAACTTTCTCTACAGATTTTTAATGGACCTGATCCCTCCTTTTAGCCCTCCCTCCTCCTAATCCTCCCGGTGACCTTGAGATAGTCTCGGTGGCAGAAGACAGTGCTCAGTTGTCATGGCGGCCGCCTCAACCTGTTTCTGAATCACTGAATGAGCAAATAAATTATCGTATCGAGATTAAGCCAGAAAATTCACCAAAGTAAGTACATATGGAAACTATTTTGCCCTGCGTAAGCCTCAATACAGCTTAAGAGTTTTGTGTTAATTGTAAATCTCAGTTCCGAACAAGAACGTAGGAAATATGTGATTTCTTCAGCATCTTTCGCTTGATAGCAGAATTACCTCAGCAATGCTCTTTAATAGTTTAAACTTTTGTTCATGGGTTAGATCTTTTACAATAAACTTTACTGTTTTTATCTTTAGGAAGTTCTCGATGATGACAGAGGAATCACAAATCTTGTTTGAAGAACTTCGGCCGAACACCCTCTACGAAGTGTCGGTCTATTCTTACCGTCCGGCTGATGGTCAAGCTTCATTAACTCCAAAACATATTAAAGTGACAACCAAGCCCGAAGGTACGACTAATCAGGTATATTAACTCCTATCCATGTAGTCTACCGATTACCAATGGTGATGAATCCTAAGGCGGAGTCAACCGATTTTGCGACCCTAAAAGTGTCCTGGGAACTGCCGCACATCGAACGGTCAGACAGACCCGAAGCTCAAATCGGACATTATAGGCAAGAATAGAAAAAAGTCTCAAATTTACTTTTTTTACACTCTTATGACCATATGCAAACCCACACTTTTCTAAGGCGAAAACGCTTAAAATTCCTACTTACATTTAATTCAGTAGAAAGTTTAAACATCTCGTAATTTATTCTCCAACTTAGGATCATGTTGCTGAATTTGGCTGCCAACAGCGGGGATTCACGTCGTTGGGTATCCCATAAGGTTCCTGGGGGCGCCCGTGTTACCGCCTACAACATAGCTGATTTGCAACCTGATTCATTTTATCGCGTGAGAATTATCGCCGTCTCCGTGATGGGAGTTGATGGCCACCCCGCCACTATTGCTTCCTCGCCGCGTATTCTCTCACGCCCTCCGTCAACGCCGCCGCTTAATGTATTACTCTGATAGTTTTATTTTTTGCTTTTAAGTGCTTGTATCTTGTAATACAGAGTTGGTGGGAACATATAGGATCTGCAGCCGTTGTAATTCTTTATAATTTTAATTGCCATGCTGACCTCCATAGGTGATGTTGTCAGCAGTTGGTGCATTGACAGCCGCTTTCTCCTGGCTGCCACCAGCGGTGCAGGATCGCAATGGCGAGATTGTGGCCTATCAACTGGAGTTCAACTCGCCTGAGTGGCTGGCACCACGAGAACTTACCGTTGCTGATGGTTGTAACTACACCATCACTGGTAGGTCAATGCTATTGTCGAAGCACAATTTCCCGCAAACTTTACGAAACGACAACGTGGCATAATACCAAAGAACTCTTTAATGAGAAAGAAAAGAAATTCGTTAGCTCCTCCATTCTGTCTATTTAGTCGACGTACATGTAAATTTCGCCTTATTTGTTATTCCTTATCAACTGTAAAATTTCGCCTGTACATCTTGAGCATTTCGGTAATGAAGGTCGGTTTTAAAGGTCAAGAGGATCAAGTTCAAGTGCCACCACAAATAAGGAGTTTGCAGTAATCGCGGGTTCACTACATAGTTGCGAAACCATAAGCCAGCTTTATCCAGGAGCTAAAAACTCAGTAGGCGAATCCTTCACTACTATCTTGAAAACGGCATAGGCAATCGTAAACAGAGCGCTATATTTCCTTCAGGCTTGAATCCAATGACCAACTACAGTCTCACCGTTGCAGCAGCGACACGTGCAGGTGTAGGACCAAAATCCCCGCCTCTTCTATTTATGACAACCTTAAAAACCAATCAGGTCGATAATGAGGCTCCAACTGACCCCAATGACACCGTACGCTTGCATCAGATTCAACAATTTGGTTGTAATTTATTATTTTCATCTGCCTACCTTTTCTTGTGTGCTTAAGAATTTCGAAAACCAAAATTTTTTCGTCGATCCTGGCGTCGCAACTCTCCCGCCGCTAAAGGTGAATTATTTGCCATTCCCTACTTATAAGAAAATCAGTAGGAGGTGGTCACAATAATTGTTACTTTGATGTTAGGTCCATAACTTACGCTATGTCGCAAGAGAGAGGAATATCCTGCTGTTGTGGTCGATTCCACCCATTTCGGCTTCCCATCACCGATTTAAAGGTGTTGTTGTCCGATGGGGTAACATCTATCCCGGCCCAAATAAGGCTGAAGTCAGTCTGGAGAAAAGAGCGTTTTCTATTGAGCCACTGGGTAAGTGGATGGTTATTATTGCAACCCATATGCCAAGTGATGTCAACCGTTGTTATAGCTACAGTTCTTTTACAAGGCGGATAAACTGATTTGGTGGTTTGTAAGTAGCATGTTCAGAACATGTGGCGCTTACGATTGGCTTTACGTTTTTAAATGGTCATTGATACGGAGCTAGCAACTTAGTTCTTAATTGCGATTACCCATGCTGCATTTTAGAGCCTTCAACGACCTACATGATCTCGGTTGCTCTCCTTATTGAGGACGGTGAAGGTCCTGTCGAAATGATAACAGCGCAAACCAAACCTGTCTCTCGTAAGTCGCCTTGAGGCGTAATTAGTGTTACGATCATCTTTGTTTGCATTTCACCAGCTGTCACTGCTATAGATGCGAAAGAATCTCTCATACCTCTCAATTTTCGGCTTCTATCGGCCGGTCCTGACTGGGCAATCATGGCATGGGATGCTCCAACCTGTTCTGCCCTTGAAGACGAATTTGATGTTTATCATGGCAATAATAATCGAAGAACTACACAGAGAGCATCCCCATGTGCAAGTGGGGCATTCCCATTGACCTATCAGCTACGGTATGATGTGGTGGAGACAGGGGAGACTGCAACGACCAGTGGAGCTTTTGGTGAGTGACCTCGCTACTTACTTTCATTTGAGTAGACTCAGTCCAAAGGAGGTCTGTAAGTAATTGTGCAGCTGTAATCCAGAATAAGTCCCTTTACGATAGCCATGGATCATTTGAAGCAGACTACCTCAATAAATTCTGGGATGAGATGCCACAATCCACTTGTTTGATAGAATGGGTATGAAGTTAATGGAAGTTGTGCACAGTGGACTCTCGTCGTGGATGATTTGAGGGCTACTGCCAAGTGCTCTAAGCTAATGGTTTTCGGAGGATGGACTTATTGTCTGTAATTAAGTTGCGCATATTCGTTTTATTCGGTACAGGTATGTCGATTAACTTCTTTGGTCATCGTTAGCGCGCATATATTTGCAAACTAATAAACGAATCCAATAATCTATTTCGGTACTGAACACCATTTAATAGTCAACACATTCGCATTGAAACCTTAACAAATTTGCGAACACAAACGGAGATTATTTATGCTGCATCGTGCTCTAGGTAACTGCCCGGAAGATGGATCGAGTACAGCAAAGGAGGTAAATGTAAACGTTACGTGGGTTCGACTGGAACAACTCCAGCCCAACAGCCGTTACGTGGCCTGTGTGCGTGCGATTACACATGATGCTACGCAAACCGAGCTGCTTGGCGATTGGAGCTTCGTGCATATTTTTGAAACTCAGCATCAAGGTTCGCGACTTGATTGGCTCCTAATTGATTTATCGCACGCATCTCAATTCTCTGGCAGGCGATTGGGTAGTCTAAACACCCAATTTTGGTGGTCCTTTTTAAAACGATAGTTTTTATAATAAAAATAATCTGAATAACTAAAATCAAAGCACAATTTCGTTGCTTAAAATTGCAATTGTTTTGCCACATTGGCGGGTGTTTTTTGGCATTCTTTATTGGGTGCTAAATCAATATAATATTTGGTAAGTATTCAATATGTGACACCTTGCCCAACCAAAAGCCCTAAAGTTGCATTGTACTAAGCCTTCAGAATGCTCTGAAAGGACCAATAGATGAACTAACAATTACCAATAGTTTAGAATAGTCGAGGACCACTAATGTGGAATTTAAAAGTAAACCTTAATTTTTAGAATCCTCGCAAGTGAATCCATCCAAAACTTCTGAAGGTGGTGTTACAAAAACCAACCAATCAACAACTTCATCGGCCAACTATCTGCCATCACAACCAATCACGAATGCAAACGTATCATCGGCCGACACCTCGCAATCCTCTACTCTGATTGGCGGTAGCAATTCTGACATTTGGTTGGCCCTTGCCGCCATCATGGTGACAACGGTTGTTCTTATGGTCATAGTCATTGTGGTTGTTTGTTGGGCCAAGAGAAGTCCCATCATGGTAGTCGGGTGAGTCGAAGTAAGTCTTCACCCACCTTTATTTAACGTCTCTAATTTGTTAAACACTTTCTGGCCACAGTTACAAACCAGAACAGCAAGCCAGTGGTGGAGGCCTGACAGAGGCGAGTGTAAATCTTCTTAACCCTTCCAAAGCACAGAGCAACGGAGGTGGAGTTAGCGGAGGAGGAGGTGTTAATGAAAAAATTGCGCTACAACAGTACCCCGCCCCAAAGTCGAGTGAGGCGCAGCTCATCGATTTCACTAATAAAACGCCGGGTAGGCTTGTGTCATACCACTTGATCCCCTTGTACCAATGTTGCAATGGTGACGAGGGGCGAGAGTTTATAAAAGCTAAATGTTGTTTAAAACATCAAATCAAGAGGCCTGGGCAATGGATGGTGATACTGTGATTCAACAGCAGCAGCAGCAGCAACAACAACAACAACAACAACATCAGCAGGGTCTGATTTCGATGACCAACGCGGTTCCAATGATGGGAATTCGTTCAGCAGTCGACCCAATGAGCGGATGCGGAAGTGATGCAGCTAGCCGTGGAGCAACTGGCAGTTCGGCCAGTTCTGCAATTTCCCTGCTTCCAGCAGTCGGATCGACGGGTGTGAAGCCAACTCCCACCTACGCCAGTCCAACAGGGAATCCACTCATTAGTCCGGTAATCGAATATTCGCCTTCTTGGTGATAAATTGTTGAGTTAGTAGTTAAGGGAAAGAGGAAATCATGGCTTATGCACCTAAAGTAATTACTTTTGTAGTAATTTAACAAGACTTTATGTCCTTTTCGATGCTTTCTAATCAGCTATTAGGAGAACATCTTTTGTGCTTAGTCAACTAAAAACTTAACACACTTTTGACCTTTAGCCTTCGTCGGTACCACCTTACGGAATCTTTCCATCAGCTCAACCACAATTAGGCACCTTTGCTCAAGCCTACTATCATCAACATCACCAAAACGCGGCGGCTGCTGTTGGAGGTGGTAGTGGGGTTGGCGGTGGGATGTACCCTCCACCGGCTTACCTTCGAGGGTCTGCGGGCCAACATCCACCACCTCCACCACCCCCGCATCCGCCACCACCTCCTGGATTTCCTCTCGTAACTCCTAGCAATATCGGTGGCCCACGTATTGACTTGAGCGCAGGAGGTGAGTCTCAAAATTTACTCTGTTGCTGGTTTTTTGAGGTCCATGCTACTGAAGTCTGAGTTCTAGCAGCGTGAAAATGCCTAAGCACAAAACTCGGATAACTCACAGTAATGGAAACAAGAATTTCAAACATTAATATTTTTGGATATTCTATGGGGATGCTTGCGTTGGGGCCATCCATGTCAACGCATCACGATTTCCTCCTTGAGGGCCTCAACTGAGTTGACAGCAGGAAGCTCCAACCATCAATCATACACGGGTTAGGATAAAGAACAGTCTTGCGAAGCTAATGCCTTGAATTTAAGCCTCTCAAGGCTAATTTTTGACTAAACGTTAGGTCTGTAATGGGAATATTAATGTTGATTATTAATTTTGAAATGAAAATAAGGTCGCAAATTCAAAGTACGATGTGTATGCATGGTTGTAGAGAACGACGGCACGTATCTGCAGTACCCCGGGTTACCAATAAATAGAGGTCACATAGCGCCCAACACTCCTTCCTTGAACGCATCTGATCTCATTTCAGAAAGCAGTTCCGGTAAGCCCCTTTACTACTGCTCATAGGACTTTACTTTTTAACACGTTCTTATAAGATCTCTCTACTTATTTAACATCAGTAGCTGACTATACATTTGACTATCTTTTTTGTTATTACACAAGTCGGCGTTCCTTCCTCCGTGGTTCTTGGGATTGCCTCGACAACCCACCCAACAGTGCCAACAGGAGTAGGCGGAAATCCAGTCGAGTTTTCCACCGTTTCTACAGTCTCATCCTGCTCGAATTCAAATTCCAACGCATCCAATCACCACATGCACGGTGCAAATCCCCACATTCAACGGCAGATGGCACATTTGCAACCGAGAGGAGGGTATAACTCCCTTCCAGCTAGAAAAGATGGTGTAAAAAGCACAAACGAGACGAAACCTCGTGCGGCAGGTGGAGGAGGTGAAACTAACGAGAATATGGTAGGTGGATAGCAAAATGATAGAATAAAGCCTAATTATTATTTGAGAATGGGGATGAAGTGGTGAATGGATTGATGGAAAAAGTGGTAACACGACTGAATGAGGGGAAGAAAATGAGAAAAGCTTTGGTGTAGTACTGCAGAACGAATGGGATGGCTGGTGAATTGATAAATTGATAAGAGGAGTGGTAGGCAATCCATATGTTGGCGTGATGGGACATTAAATTAGAGGACATGAGTTGTATTAAACCTTTGAAATACGTGAAAATGTGTCAAGAGTGACTACAGGGATGGTTGTGTTTATGATTCAAGAAGGAGAAGTTAGGAGTTTAGAAATCGACAAGCTTGCATGATTCGTTGGGGAAAATCACGGGTTGGGCCGGATGGAATATTTTATGAGGAAATGCTGGCAAGGCTAAAGTGAGTCAGCAGATGTCGAGACAACTATACGTAGGGTAGAAGGGAGGGTAATGCATTGGCAACCGCAGAGCAGCCAAGTAAGGGTGGATGGGCAACTAGCCAATGTCGGATGAGGTGGGTCAATGAAAAAAAATTTAAGAAATGGGGCTGTGTAATTAAAGTTCCGTAAAATATGGTAAAGGACTGTGTGACTGATGATGCAAAGAGTTGAAAACAAACGATTTTGTGGTGTTTTTAAGACATTATCGAAGGGATGGATGGTTAGCAGTGAGCTAAAAAATGAGTGCGGGGAGATAGATGACTGGATTGCTGCATAGGCGAGGGACGCGATGCGTGGGCAAAGGGTGAATGGGTGGACAGCTGTGTGGGGATGTGTGTGATTGGAGGAAGTGAATGGTTTTAAAAACACGTAAAGGGGTGAAAAAAGAACTGGCGGTGGTGAGGTGGTCAAATAATCCAAATTCGTGGTTAAAGGAATTGTGGTTAAATCTTCAGTGCTTCTATGCTAGATAAAAGGTGGTACAACCACTTACAACTTTTGCATCGATTGTAGAAAGCCATAAGCACGGAGGAGTTGACCCAGGAGATGGCGAATCTCGACGGATTGATGAAGGATTTGTCTATGATCACACAAAACGAGTTCGGGTGCCTTCAACCCTGAATCTTAAAGCCCGCCTGGCCCCTGCTGCTCCGCATACCATCTTCCCTTCTTTTGCATATCTTCCCCTTTCTACCCCATGTTTGTGCCCTGCAAATAAAGCCACTCAAGGCTGTGTACATATCTATACATATACATATATATACATGTATACATAGACATCCATATATGCATAACCCAAGCTAATATAAACGAATACTTGTTCCCCACCCCGGCCTGTAAATGCATCCGAATTGGACTATTTAGAGGGTTAGTGTGGAGGGAAGGGTTATGGGTTAGGAGTTAGATAACCACTCAGTTGGTATGGGAAGGTGGGATAAGGATAGCTGCTGAATTTAAAATATAGGCATTAAGCGCCTGTACCAAGATACAGGGTAGCAAAATTAGGGCTTATACGAGCAACAGTGTTCGTGGTGGTCCGAGAATTACAAATAAAGAAATTAAGGCTTTTGACATTTTTCTTGTAAATGTATTCAGCATACAATCAAGGAATAACCATGTAGACGCCAAAAAGTTAGGTGGGCGATCAAATAAATTAAATAAATTAAAGGCAGTTGGCCACAAACCTCTGTAATAAAAGGCTTAGGCTTTTAAACTCAACTATCTTTGGTTTAGGCATGGAATTAATTGAGACAATAAAATAGGTAAATGCGATATTTGAATAGGCTAAGTGAAAAGTGCTATTAATAATAAGAAAGCGCGCGCGAACTTTATATCAACGCAGTAAATCGCATTCGCCACCGCTCATTCAATATAATTACCGAAATCGTCTTGAATTTGGAATCTACTCAAACACGTGAGAAGGCAAATGCTAATAATGATTGTATCCTTAATGTTGCTCAAACCTTCTGCTTCCATTGGCTGAAGCCTTGTCGTGTGGCCTTGTCGGGTTACCTTCTCATTTCCACATTGACTATGCCTTTGTATCTTTACGTGTCCACTGTTAGTGGGAACCAAGAAGTAAGCGACTTCATCAATTTAAACTTTGTTAAATATGTAGGTGCGTTCCAACCAGCTGCGCATTCAAAGTGTGCTTGACTCAATGAACATCAAATATGAGCTTGTTGATATCGCTGCTGACGAAAGTGCGAAGCATAAAATGATGGCTGCATTAAAGGCGGCGAACAAACAGCCACCATACTTAGCTCCTCAATTCTTCTTTGGTGATGAGTATATTGGTGTACGTTTATATTCTCTTAGTGTCATATTCCTTTCTGTGGTTATTGTTTCTATTTCTCTTTCATTAGGGTTACAAGGAGTTTGAAGATGCGGTCGAGGATTCGCGTTTGGAAGCATTTTTGCGTGTCTAATTTTCTTTAATCGTGAATTTCCTACCTTTTGTTATCGATTAACGTGGCGCCATGGCTGCTCAATCCGCTGATCATCCAACATTCCAGGCTTCCATATTCCATTCCCTTTTTTGTTATTTGTTGATTTACCTTCTTTACGTCAATCAAAATTTTTAAACTAGTTCATTTTTCACTTTGCTTATCATTCCACTATCCTCCGAATTGTTCTTACCCAGACAACTTGATTAAATTGCCACCGTTTTCCCATGTTATGCCTTGCGGTACGTGTTGAATCTCCAAAGCTTGATACAATATAAATTTTGCTATTTATTCTTCTTTGGTTTTACCTTGAACCACGTGACGCAGGTATGGTGTTATCCATATCTTGCTTAAAATCTGTCACGCATGAAGTCACCTGAATAAGACCTGACCCTCGTTAGGGGCTTATATTTGTAATTCTCACGCTTTATTTTCACCATTTAAACGGGAGGGATCTGGCACCATTCTTTGCGAGCGATGTGTAAAGTGGTGATGTTTGCTCCGCAGAGATGGACTTTCTTACACTTTAAAGGACTCGTGGGATGGGAGCGTTGATGCCTGCAGTGGGATTGGTGTTCGAATCCACTTGAAGGCTGCCAGCTGTCAAATTAATGGATCCAGTAGGTTGGCAATCTACTAGAAGTGATCTACCAGGACTGAGGTGGGGTATGGTTCGGCGAGAGGGAGGACGGATGGATGGGTGGGTAGGTTTCCCCATCCTCAGATAGGTCTACCAGCCCTTCCACCCCTCTGTCCTCCACTTTTGCGATTGTGTCTCCACAGTAAATCAACCGTGAGTCAATTTTCTTCATCGAATGGCTCTCTACACCCAATATTAGCGATAGTTGATGTTATGGATAAGAATTTTTCTCCTGACTTCTGACCACTCCCATGCTTTTGATGCCACCTGCCTTCAAGGAGATGGAGCATAAGCAAACAAACCTTTCAAGCAGTTATTCACGTCTTAACACGTCAATAGATAATCGTCCAATCTCCATTTCATCCAGTAAAGTTAAGGAATATCGTGATTGGAGTCAAGTGGATTGCCGAGGACATTAATTGCTTTGTCTTACCTCTGTTCTAAAATAACTAGTCCCCTTTAATCATCGGTTCTATTGCCTACACTCCAGGAACCCCAAAAGTGCCATATTGTCACCTTCAGAAAACGCCGACTTTGTCCAAAGAACGCCCTTCTCTCCCATCTGTATTCTTTGATGCAATGACAAAAGAAGGAAAAAAAGGATAGAAGTAACACACAAAATCTGTTAAATTTGCATAAACAGTCTCAGTAAGTTGTGAGAAAGGGTTGGCATTTGCCTGCACAAAGCATCGCAGTGACAGTCACTCCATCATCGCATAGAGTGTTAGCGATGTCAAGTGGATCGGTGGTGCATGTAGAGGCACTTGAAGAATAATTGACGTGAAAAGGAAATGAGAAATGCAGAAATAAAGGGTTTGTGGCTTGGAGGGCAGAGCCCATTGTGGCTTTGGCAAGGCACGAGGTGTGGAGACAGACTCCCGTGTGGAAGACGGCCTTTGGTCTGCTCGTTCACCACTAGCAGCGGTTGGTGGCGGGGAGAGGAGGAGGAAAACAGTCCAGACATTGCATCACCAAAGCAAAACCTTTCATTTGTTTGTGGTTAATACAAATGGCTGACGTTTACTCTCAACCTCTTGTAAATAAACGTAACGTGCGTAGCCACTTGCATAAATCAGATGCACCGGAAGATTGGGTTCATAGCCTTTTTTCCTTCTTTTTGGCAAACCTCTTCTCCTCTCACCCTCCCCTTGAGTTCAGTCACGTCAGCCAGATGTGTCCAGCTCCACACCTCCTTCTCACCACTTCGCTTCCTCCCAAAACAACTCACTTATCTCATTTGGTCATCTACTTTACGCATACATTTCTTTCCATTTTCTTCCTCTCTTTCCGTAGTCACATCATCATGCCTAAGGAAGGTTTCTACTCAAGTGTAGGTGCAGCTGTTCCGCGATGTCGCAATGACTAACGCCAATGTCACATTGGTAATCAAATCCGTGTGACAAATAAGGCGAAAAAAAGTTAATTTACTCTGTGGTGTGAGACACCGACCTTTGCACAGGCTTAGGAGCTGACTCCGCAATCATTAGTGAGTCAACCAGTGCACGCATCGTGGACCAGCTAAAGCCCGACGCCCGTCACTTACACTGGCAGACAACAGTAATGGTGACAGCGATGATGTAATGCACGAATTGTGGACGTCCTTCTTTAAGTAGACAGTAAGACAGTGCCGTGACGCCTGACAAATAACAACGCAATTGCCACTGATGGAGTCACTGGTGTGGACATTTGAGGCATTTTATTTTGTTTATACTACAAATTATTGCTGCCCTTTTTTAACTATCAAGTGATGCTCTGATTAGGGTGGATCTTAGCGAAGAGGAGAAGGAGGAGGGGCGAGACGAAGGCGCCAGCCAGATGATAAGCACATGAAAAAACTTAGGCGGCCTTACCTTAGAGGCAAGTAGCCTGGCGATTTATTCAAAAAAAAAACAGACAATTATGTATATAGAGAAGCCTTCTTCATAGCTCATGTTTTTAGTATTTTTCTCCTGGCATGCTGTGGTGGCCAGGCGCCTCTCCAGTCTGATCATAGGAGGGTGGAACTGTCGGCGGTAGAGTGTACATTTGACCAGAGGGGTACGGTGCAGGCTGAACAGGAGCCCCTGCGGGCACTTGTGGTTGGCTGGCTTGGTAACCAGTTGCCATGAATGGAGGTGGTTTGGGCTGATTGAAGTAGGAACCCATTGGCATTTGGTTCACCTTATTATATCGCATAGGTAAACACGCTACTTATTTTCAATTAAGTAGAACGTCTGAGCAAGGGATGAGATTGAGGTTTGAGTGTTGACTTTCAAAATAAGGAAAAAAACATTTAGTTTTGCATTGGATTGAAGCATTTAAACCTTTGAATTTCGCCTTTTGTTACCAACTTTCCATTAAAAACACAAATTGTACGATTACACGCGGTGTCCAGAAGTGTTGACATTAGCCTGACACAAAAAGGCGAAGCCCTAAGATTTTAACGAAACTCTTGCCACTTTGAGCTAAAAACTTAGATTTACTTTGTTTCGCTAAGGTTTTGCCGCCCTGCGAATGGGAAAAAAGTTAAAATTAAGTTTCAAATTAAAAATAACGCAACTTGGGCAAATCAGGGAGTCTATAATACATTTGGTTTTTTGCAAATTTTTCATTATAAAGTGTATCTTATCCAAAAATACATCACTCTTTGGTGGCTTAAGTATGAGGTCCTTTTCTCTACTCTGTAATTGGCCTCGTTGCATTACGCATTAAAAAAGTAGAGTAAAAGTAGACAAGAGACGGTGAAGACATTTTTGGTCGCCTTTGCCTGACCTTTAACGACAAGTGCAGGATGAAAATTTACTTCTGCGTGTTACCTGACACACAAAGACAGGTTGGTGCGTGTTCAATGGGTGGAACAACCGATGTAGTAAAATGCAGTGCATGCACCCCTTCAATGGGCGTTAGCTAGTTGGCGAGCCGCTTAAAGTACACCGACGCCTATTTACAGGGTGTCAAAAGGACATTGGAAACAAAATGCCTGTCTTCAAAGTAATTTAATACTGGGCGATATATTTTCGTTAAGCTCACAACTACATATTTTGTTGTGTCGATTCGCGGACTTATTAGTATGTGGAGCAAAAACGAATGGATTTAAAGTAAGCCAAAATGACTTGTGCTGAATGATTAGCAAGACGATTTCTCCCTCAAAATGATGCTACATTTGCAGCATTGACTTTAATGAAGGACCTACCATTTGAGGTTGTTGCGTAATAGTTATAACTGACTTGGAGCTGTTGCTGAAGGCCAAAAAGCCGCAGGCGCAGCACATCATGATGGACGCGACCACAATGAAAACGCAACCAAAAAAGACCATAGCGATGCCAATGGCAAAGTTCCTGTACAGCCATTAAAAAAATGGACAAATTAGGTCAGGTAATGAGTACATCTGGCTTGTTGCATGTAGGTAGCATAAATCATGAAAGGCTCGCTCAATGACTTATTTTGTATATACGTAGCATCATTGCGAAAAACACCAAAGGGCACAATCTGACCTTCGCGCAGAAAATGCTTGCTACTTATGTGTATGTAAGTAGAATATAACGCATTCACCTCTGCTCAGTCGTGTAGTTGTCACAGATCTCGTCCCAAAGGCGAGGGTTTCCCGAGAGTCTAGTAATTTGCATTAAGAATCAGCAGATTTTGCAAACGAGCTTCGGAAACCTTCTGCAGTCAAAACAATGCCTATCTTTAAATGCAGGATTTCGGAAATACAATTTATAATTTAAATAGTTGTTTCAATTACCAGATTTTTATTAAAAAGTTAAAATGTCGGAGGGAGCCGTAAATAATGTTATGTCTCGTTTAATAATATTACATGATTCTTGGTAATGGTTGCTACTTATACTAATATCAGCAACTAGGAGCTCACTCCCAATTCGGATGGATACCATCACAAAGCTCGGGTAGACGGTACAAAGCGGCTGAATTTTTGTCAATTAATACCGCCCCACCGATCACAAGTCCCAAGGCGAGGACGAAGCAGAATGCAGATGCGAGCTGGCAGCAAATCGCATTAGCATGTGCAAATGCGCTGATACCATTTTTTATTCCCGTGGTGTCGATCTAGATGCACAAGAAAAATGCACCGAAAACCAACGATAAAAGCACAAAACGCCTATTTTAGGCAAAATACTAGTTTATTGGTGGAGTTTTAATGAGGTTCACAAAATTGTAACCTGCCCTAGAGATGTGCAAATAAAAGGTTCACAAACCATTTAGAGCCTGGCGGTACCCTCAGATCGCTGCTATGGGGACGATGAGAGGCAGGAGGTAAGCCTTCTTTTAGCGGCACAAAGAGTCCAACACGCTGGTGAAAGCCCAACTTTCAAATGACTTCTCTTTCTTGCTCCATTTTTCCTATTTGTGGTCCTGTGATTGACTGGGAGCAGCTGTTGCCAGGACAACAAGACAATGGCTTCAGCCATTGGATAATTGACTTCGCTACTTCGGTCTCTCTGGACTGCTCACTTTCCTTCTCTTAGTGGCATTTGGGTATACGACTATTTTAAAAGGTTTTGCTGCTCTAAGGACTCCGTAAAGGCAACTAAAACTAACCACTCTTATTGTTGCGCTTTTTGTTCTCCCACTTCCATTTGCCCTTACGGTAGACGAGAGTAAATTGGGCGTGCGCCAGAGATACGGCACGTGTTATCAGAATTATTATGACTGGCTAAGGAAATTCATCGAGTTGTCGGTCAGTTTATAGTCCCCTTGGGCAATAAAAAGCAGAGCCAGCCATTTCGTCGTTTTTACAAAATGTTAGGCATAAGCTAGACCCTCGCCGATTCACCATTCATGTGGCCATCCTTCCATCCTTCGCTCTGTTTTAACACCCACAGGCATGTGGGCTACGTTCTGGGCACCAGTAGCGGCAAACGGTTGCTTAGCAGATGAATACATTCTCTCCATGTGGTTACAATTATAAGAGTCTGTATTTTTGCATAGATTAGTTTGCGATCATCCTCCTCCTCCTCTTCTCCCCTGTAAACTTTAAAAAGGACCTCACTTTACCAACTACTGAAGATCATGGCAAAAGGAGGTGTCAAAGTCGTCTTTTTTTCTTAACTCATTGTTCTAAAATTGGGATCCTTACTCGTATACCATTTTTTGACAGTCGTGTTCCCATGCGTCTTCTACGCCTTCAATGTTCTTTAGGTGCCGAAGTGTTATGCTTGGGCCTGTGATCGTCATTGCAATTTGTTTTTAAAGCTACGCGTACGTATGCTGGAAACATTTGCGTAAGAATTTGTCTTTCTCAATAGGGCCATTGCCTTGTTGATAAAGGATGTCTGCAGCCGATCACTGAGTAAGCACAGCCAATATTAAAGCGTAAAAATTGGATGCATTCTATAAAGCGGACACATTCTTTTTGCAAGATGCAGAGTTTTCCCTCCTGCTTCCTAGAAACTATGTCTAATCGAGTACTACTTGTTGTAAAAGGAACTGCATCCAATTACCTATCAAGTTAAAATTTCCATTTTTTTATAAAGTCTTTTATGTGGTGCACTTAAGTCAAACTTGAAATTCCGAAACGAAAATGCACGTGTGCTTTAGTGTGGGTAACAACAACTAGAACACATATCGCGCACTTAAATGCGCTTTGTTGATCATTATGATAAGCAAGGCATCTTATAAATTTGGGCAAAAGTTTAAGTCGCAGGCAATCTTTGTAACGCCTATTTGTGAGGCAATAGAGCGCAGAAGTTGTGTAAACATTCCAGAAATATTTTGCCCTATATCTGCTGTTTAATGATCATGGAAAGGTGGAGTAGTAAATTACCATCTATATGGATTTATTGCCTAATAACTTTGCGGGACCTCGAATTTGCCGTGAAAGTGCGGCGTCACATTGAGAACTGAAGGAATTGTTCCGATTCGCGCATGTAAGAATACGAGGGCTGGGATTGCTATTTGGGTTTATAATTACATCATACAAGAGGTTACACAGCTTATTTGGAGTAAGCAGGCACAAAGTGCTGCATACATTTGTTGATTCAATTTGCCCAATTCACTCTATTTTAGCACAAAGTGACATAGTTAAGAAAAATGGAAAAGAAAAAGATCTTTCTGAAGTAACGACTTTAAAATATGTGGGTCATACGTTTTATTACTAAGTCGTCGAATTTTATTGCTTTCAACTTGAACCAGCAACGATTAATTAGTAGGGGCGTTTCCATTGGTTCAAACTAGCGCATCATTGACCAATCAACTCAATGGCGACTTTATTGCACATTGATTGGCTGATTATTGGTAAACAGAACATACAAGCACTTTGTAAAAATAACAAAGTAATCATTAATTAAAACAACAAATCTTCTAAAAAATGTGCATATATATGAAAAAATCAATATTGTCACCAGCTCCTTAAAGCATTGAATCGGGACGTCTGTAAAATGCCTAAACAAAAAAAAACATTTTTATGCTTCCCGCATAATAACCAACAATTTGATGAAATGAATTATAAAGAGATGAAAATTTACCATCGAAACAGCTTCAAATTTCCTTGAAATAACACAAACAATGCATGCAATCGTGATCCCAACAAATTCAATGAAGAGGCTGAATACGATGACGGGAATGCCCATTTCTCTGAAAAAAATTGCATACAAACAATAAATCGCCATAGCTCAGAAATAACAAAATGCGTGTACACAACTACTTTGGAGATTTCGGTAGAGCAAATATGGTCATCGGGTGTTCTAAGAACAAGTTAGCGGCCATTCAAATCAATCAACGCTAGCCTCGTAGAGAGAGAGAAGGAGAATAATCATTATTAATTTCAGAAGAGATAGTAAATAAAAACCATCATTGGGCATTGATAAATCGCTAATCCTCATTTTGCCGATCAAATAAAAAAGTCAGGATCCATACTATCTTTCAATGTTAGGCTGATGAGCAGAGGAGTTCCCAGCAGGCAAAGATTAATCCATTAAACTTAATAAACTGTTAATAGATCTTTCAGCTTTTACAAGACTAATGCATTATAAAAGTTGCTGCATGAAGCTAGCCTTGATATGCAATTTTAATCACAGCGAAAATAATACAGAAAATCGCGTTCAATCTCTCTCTTGAAATCTTAATTAGGCATTTAAAAGCCTAAAGAAACCATGACTTCAAGTTGTAAGAATATAGATCTACGGTTCTTCAACTCGCTGCCGATGATGGGAGATGAGTCTGGGGTAGAGAATGCTTAAATCAGGGAGTTTAACGTGATGATTTTTTCGAGGCTTATCTTGAATCGGGTCAAGAACTGGGACACACAAAATAAAGATCACGGTACGATTAGAGTCTTGCATATCAACTAGCTCCAAAGCCCTTGGTGAGCTGATAGTGTTTTTATATACTATAGACTGTGATGAGGAGAAGGAACTGACTAAATGCTAGGGAAGCAGCGTTCGTTGCATGCTAAGAGTGGTTGGGAAATCTGGCTATTTTCCACAGAAGGCTTAAGGTGCGATGCCAAAGCGACGACATGACCCTCATCGTGTCAAAAGTTCCAATCGAGTTATTAATGTTCCTCTAAACTTTTTATTGATATCCATGCTCAAAGTAGACTTGTTCACGCAGTAGACTAGTGGTACTGACATGACCGGGAAGCATAAGATGAGCACCGAGGCCATCGATACAATTTGCTGGAACCCCAGACAATTCTACACTAAACAAGATTTGGTAAAATTCGAATAAGACATCTATTGCAGGCCTTAGTGACTGCATTATGCATGATGTTGTTTTTCTTTTAAAGCCTATTTAAATTAATTTGGTGTCATTAGCATAAAGCCAACTTACGTGTAGATGCCCTGCACCGAGTCGCCATTGATAATTTCTATGGTGTTTCCACGACATAGCACTGTCCCTCCTATCAAGCCAGCAATCCCCACTGCCATAATCAAAGCTGCCGCCACTCGAAGATAAAGTGAATTCATGACGATCCATTGTATCTGTTGTTGACAGTACCTTGTTGTCATTGTGAATGGTCCGGCAAAACAAGCACTACCAGTGAATTATTCATTTTGTTCTGTTTTTTCAAGGTCACAAATGGTGTGCAAATGCGTGTCTGTCTGTTTGCTTCCATTGACTCACATATCGCCTGTTGTCGCTCCAGATTAAGCCGTGATAGTAGGCGTGCTCTCCAACCGCAATTTTTATTGGCTGGTGTGAGTTTGCGGGTTTAAGCAAAATGATTGGCTCAGTTTCATCCAATAAATTTAAAAGTCTGCGTTTGTAGGTAGAAGGAGCTCCGTTTGCAACAGTGATTGGGCAACCAGCTAAACCGCAATCAACGAACATCCCTTTGATTTATTGAGTCTACAAGGCATTAAGTCCTCAAGTCTTAGG